CTTCCTTCCTTCCTTCCTTCCTTCCTTCCTTCCTTCCTTCCTTCCTTCCTTTCCTTCCTTCCTCTCTTCCCTCCTTCTTTCCTCCTTCCCTCCTTCCCTCCCCCCCATGCCCGTCTCTCTCTGTCTGTCTGTCTCTGTCTCTCTCTCTTGTTGGTCATATGGCTTGAACTCAGGGCCTGGGTGCTATTTATGGACTTTTTTGCTCAAGCTTAGAGCTCTACCACTTTGATTCACAGCACCAGTTTTCTGGTGGTTAATTGGAGATAAGAGTCTCATGAATTTTCTTGCTTGGGCTGACTTTGAACTGTGATCCACAGGCCTCAGTCTCCTGAGGGGCTAGGATTACAGGTGTGAGCCACCAAAGCCTGGCTTTTGTTTACTGGCCATGTGGGGACCCTTTTCCCAGAGGTTTCTGCTGTCTGTCCAAGACGTCTGCTGCTTTTCTATCACATGATCTGCCTTTTGCGTATTGTGGAAGTTAAAGCTGGGTGGGAAGCTCAGGGCTTTACTATGGATAGCGTGTGATTCCACGTGGGCACTCCTGTTGTGGGGTCCTTTCTGGGAAGTGAGCTCCTTATCCACTGGGACCTGGGGCAACAGCTCTCATTTTAACGGAGCTCTTAGCTATCAGAACTTGATTTCTGCCTGCCTGGTGCTAGCCTTAGCAGATAAGGAAAGGATAAAGAAGACCCAGAGAGGTTAAAGAGCTTAAAATCACACAACTAGTACATGGGGCTGGTGAGATTCAAATTTACTTGAAAGGCTGGTGAGAACTAGACTGCCCGGGGCTTGAAGCCTCAATAGGCAGGGACCCAGGGAGACAGGACGGGCAAGGCTGCTGCTCTGAAAGGCCCTGTGGGATGGGCCTATCGGCTCTGTTTTACAAGGGGGCCAGCACTATCTCTCCCCAGTCTGTCATTTTGTGCCTCTGTGACTGAGGGAAAGTTGCTTGCCCACTCTGGTTGCTTCGCTTCAGGAAATAATGAATTCCTAGATTTTGGCCCTTGGAAAGGTCCCAGAGTGAGTGGGGAGCCTGTGGCTGTGAGCATCTAAGGGTGCTCTCGTTCCTAGTTCTTAGGTGCTAACTCAGCCTTCCCCACCCCCATGAAGGCTAGCTCCCCACAAAGCCTGGCTCCATGCAGGGGCTGTGTGGGTCCCCAATCAGAGCTTTATAACCTTTGGCCTTCCTGAAACCCCTGTCAGGACTTAGAGGCCTGTTTTCTTCACTTCTTCCTAGGAAGAAGGGCTCTCCTCTTTTTGGCGAGGAGCACCCTGATTTCTCCAAAAGCTGCTTCCCAGGTGCGGAAGACAAAGCCTACACCAGCACAAGCGCTCATGCAGTTAGGCGTGTTTTCCTGTCTACGGTCTAAAAGAGATGCACAGGGACAGGCTAGAGGGTCGGCTGCAGCCACATGGGGGACCATGGAGGAGCCCAGGGCAGAGGGAGCCTGGGGGTTCATTCAGAACCCCCCTAGAGGGCTATGCTGGGCCTCGTGTCGAACACTTTCTTGGCGTCTATCTCTGCCTCCACCATGTGGGGGTGGATGTCCACGTCCATTCCCACATCTTTGCAGAGCTTTAGCAGGGTGCGAATGTTGTTCTTGGACAGCCGCAGGTATCTGCAGGACAGAAGGAAGGCAAAAGGCATCAGATAAAAGGGGGGGGGCCTCCCCGGGAGCCCATTCTCTTGCCTTGGTCAGGCTGACAATGGAGTTCTCCATAGAGGTGCTGGGGAGTTTACTGACTGTGGTGACTCTGAGAAATCATTTTGCTGGCATTAGTAATGCTCTTCTCCCCTCGTTCCCACAGCTTCTGAATTTAGCGCAAGAACAGAAGTTGGCAGGAAACAAAGCAACACAATGAAAGGTATTTATCTGGGGATTATCAACTGTGGGTTGTGGGGGGTGGGGAGGGAGGAAGAGCATCCTATTCTGAGGACTCTTAATTAAAATGCCACAATTCAAATGGCATTTAGAAGAAGCTGCCACAGGAAGCTGAGTGGGAGATTAGAACGTACATTTCCCCCCCCCCCACCATCTCCCTGTCTCTCTCTCTTTTTTGGTGCTGGTCCTGGGGCCTGAACTCAGGGCCTGGGCTCTGGCCCTGAACTTTTTGCTTAAGGCTAGTGCTCTACCACTTGAGCTACACTTTCACTTCTAGCTTTTTTTTTTTTTGGGGTAGTTAATTGGATATATGAATCTCACAGGTGTTTTTTGCCCCTGTTGGCTTCGAACCCTGCTCCTGAGATTTCAGCCTCCTGAGTAGCTGGGATTACAGGCGTGAGCCACAGTGCCCAGCATCACTCACTCATCTCTCTTTCTGTTGTTATGTGTAGATCCACAGAGGCCACTGGCCAGGTGATAGAAATTCACAACAGTGGACATAATACCCAGGCAGCTTTAGGTATAGATTTGTATACTTTGAGTTAATAATATTCAACCAAGCTGTTAGCACATTGATTCAAAATGTTTCGGAAGTCCCCCCGACACTTGTGATAGCCACACTTGTGATATACACTGAGGGATGGAATTGGTTCCATCTCTCCTATAAGATCAGGAAAGTATCTGCTGTGGTGGCCAGAGTTCCTGACTCCATATTTGGCTTTGACCTCCATCCCAAGGTCAGGGGTGTGGAACCTTCCAGTATAAGCTGTTTATACATCAGAATCATTTGGTACATGACAGGACATTTGTTGTCCACGGCCAACTGCCTGTGATAACTTTATATGGCCTGTGAATGATGTTATAAATATCCAAATGGCCCATGGCAGAAGATAAAAAGTTCTTCCCCTTTTGATAAGGCCTCACAATTGTAGAATCCTGACCTGGAGCTCATGATCCTCCTGTTTCAGCCTCCCTGAGGACTGGGACTACAGGTATGTGCCACCAGGCTTGGCTGGTTGGTGTGATCATTAGTATGAGGGGTAAGGCCCTCTGTCAGGCTACTTGCTAGTTGGTTATTTTGTAACAGATGATAGGGGAGAAGCTGCGGGTTGGTATAACCTGCTTTGCTGACCATTGGTAAAGACATTTTGCCTTCAAGGTCTTCCTGAGGTTCAACTGCTTTTATGGCCAACTCAAGTGCCTTCCTGAGTCTCTCCTTTGTTTCCTGAGCTGCCAGCCTGGGACAGTTTTATGTATTTGTGCCTGCGGCAGGCTTTATGATCCCACCAAGCTCTATTCATCCTTTCCTTGCAGTTTCTGATGGCTTTGAAGATGCCGTCTCTTCAACTATTCTGCCTTCTTGGGGCGTGGGGTAGGAGTTCTGTCCAGATATCCTTTCTCACCACCATGAAGCCCAGGTAAGGCTGTCAGAGCCAATGAGAAGCACGTGGTTCATTTCAACACCATAGGCAAAGTTATCCTGGCAAGGGACCCCCAACTAGGGCAGTCAATGGGACTCTCCCTGTCCACCTGTCAGCAGGCACTCATTTTGATCATCTGCCCTGACCAGTCAGGGAGCAGCGGCACTGCAAGCCCTCAGGTGAGTTTATTGATGAGTTTATTGCTATCAACTTCAGATTGATGACCACAGGTTTCTGTGGTCTGGATTTCGCCTCAGCTAAACAGTTCAACTAGGAGCTTTGTTCTTACAGAAAAGAATAGTGCTGGGCTAAGGAGAGGAATCTTCGAATTTGTCTGTTTTTGTTGTGTGCAGTGGGAGCCAGGCTGTATGGTGTTACTAAAACCTAGCAAATCCCAAGAAATAGAACAATGTGAGGTGCCAGTGGTTCATGCCTGAAATCCTAGCTACTCAGGAGGCTGAGTTCTGGGAATCACAGATTAAAGTTAGCCAAGGCAGATATATCCTAGAGACTCTTATCCCCAATTAACCAGCAAATAGCTGGGAGTGGAGGCATGGCTCAAGTGGTAAGCACCAACTCTGAGTGAAAAAGACAAGTGAAAGCTCCAGGCCTGAGTTCAAGCCCCAGTACTAGCGCAGCAAACAAACAAACAAACAAAAATAGAGAACAAGCAAGCGAGGGGAATCTCTGCTAAGACCAGCCAGCCCCAAATGGCTTTGTACCTTGTTCATGGTCACTTAGGAGACTAAAACCCCAAACATATAGCCGATGTGACGAGGGATGGGGACCATTTAACGCTAGGGTCTTAGAGGGATTTCCTGTTAACTCAAGGCAACATGAGACCCTCTTCTCCTTTTGGAGTAATGCTCTGGTTTCTGGGGTGGAACAAATGGGTAGCTGGGAAGAGTCCTGTAAGCACCAGAGCTGTGGCTTTAGAATGACAGCACCTATCACAGCAGGAGGCCACTGGGAAAGTCAGGCCTTGAGCCTGGAGCGGTTCTTTGGGACCCAGGGTCACAGCTCAGGCATACTGAGCCCACCCCAAGGTTTCCAGCTGTCTGGATAGAGACAGCAGTGGCCAGCACCAAATCCCTAGGACCCTGGCACCACATGGGGCTGCTCACCGGCAGCTCAGCACCTCCTCTGGCTTCAGCATCTTCACATTCTCAATCTTGGGCTCCGTGCCTTTGTCCATGAGGCTTTTCAGCCTGCGCTCATAGGTGGTGTCCGGGGTCTTGGTGGCCCAGTCTCTCATGATGTTCACCCTGCGGCCACTAAATATGCCATCCTGCAATATGGGGTCCACGGCTGAGCTTTGCCGACGGTATGGCCGCTGAGTGGACTCCAGAGCAATTGCATCCTTGATGTCTAAGTCTGAAATTGGACATATGTCACCAGGGAGTTAGATTCTGGGAGAGTGAGAGGTGGGGTAGGTGGAAGGGCACCAAGACAAAGACATATTAAAAAAAATAGCTGGGCACTGGTGGCTCACAACGGTAACCCTAGCTACTCAGAAGATTGAATCTAAGGATTCCTGCTCAAAGCCAGCCCAGTTAGGAAAGTCTGTGATACTCTTACCACCCATTAACCAGCAAAAAGCTAGAAGTGGAGGTATGGCTCAAGGGGTAGAAGCATCAGCCTTGAGTGAAAAAGTTAAGTGAAGTGGCACAGGCCCCAAGATCAAGCCCCAGTATTGCACACACAATTTTTCGCACCACATTATTGTGAGATATGCCTAAGTTTTGATACAATGTGTTCATATGGTGTGACAGTTTGTTAAATTCATGCAGAAATACCTGTTTTATGTGGTCTACAATAACGGAAGGAACAGAAAGATTGCTTGATTTCTAAATCCATTATTTCCTAATTTGATGCCTTTGTTCTCTTTTACAGCACTTTCTGCAGTTCACTTTTTATTTCTATTTTTGGTGGCACAGGGTTTGAGCTCAGTTCTTTGTGCTTACTAAGCAGGTACCTTGCCCCTGGAGTCACAACCTCAGTGCTTTCCTTTGCTCTGTTTATTTTTAGATAGGGTTTTGCTTTTTGCCTGGCCTGGCCTGGACAGTAATCCTGCTATTTATGCTTCCTGTCATAGCTGATGACAAGTGCAGGCCATTATGCTCAACTATTGGCTGACTTGGAGTTTCACAAACTTCTTTTTTTTTGTCCAAGCTAGCCTGGAACCTTAGCATCTTAGTCTCTCACATAGTTGGGATGATGGGCGTACATGCCACCACACTCGGGTGTTTACTGATTGAGATAGAGACTCATGGTCCTTTTTGCAGGCCAGAACTCAAACTATGATCCTCCTTCTCCCTACGATTACAAGTGTGAGCCCCCACTTTTGCTGTGTTCTTACTTTTATGTCTGAAAATATCATTCATTCACCAGCAATGACTTATCTGTGGGTTGGGGTAGGATTTATGGGGTATGGTCTTTACTCTCAGTCGTCTAAGTACCACTTTAGGGTTGATGCTAGTCTAATTCTTTTTCCTTTGTAAGGTAATTGTTCATTCTCTGAGAACTTGCAGAAATCTTCTCAGCTAAGTTTAAGGATCTTAGCAGGACATGCCTAAGGGGATGAGTGTAGACTTCCTACACTTATACAAATGGATAGACAGTGGCCTTGAGATAGTATGATCTGCCCAAAGTCTCACAATGGGAAAGCTGCAGAATCAGAACCCTTTCTGCCTGCTATGGCACTCTGGTCTGGCAGCTGGTCCTTCACAAGGTAATAGGGTCCCTGTTCATGCATACTGGGAACTGGTGCCATGTCCTGGGAAAATCATGGTCTGAATGTCCTTTTTGACTCAAATGGGACTCTTGGAGATAAGATCATGAACTTTCCTGGGATGTCTGATCCTCTTCTGGACCCAGAGGCACCTATGTTGGAAAGAACAGAAATAGTATTAAAGGTAGTGACAATTCATGGTCTTTCTAGTAGAGGAGGGCACTGGAACCTCCACACATCATCTCCATTTACTGAATGAGAAAGCTGGTGAAGGTTAGGTCATGTGCCCAGAACTCACACTGACAACATTCTTTTTGTCTGGAGACTTAACATGATCCCCATTCTTGGTCTATGCCTGAACAGACAGGTTAGGTTTCTAGTGGGCCAATTTTGGCACCAGGGGCTGTACACTCGTGGACAGCCCTCTGCGGTGAAAATATCTCTTGACCTGGATTAGACATTGGCTCCTGGTAGCACACCCACATGAATTCCCAGCTTCTTGGAGTTGGCCATTTGCTAAGATTTGTGTTAGAAATGGGCTCTGATTGTTTCCCTAGAATCTTTTACCAGAATCTTTCTTTCACCTGACATCCAAAATGATCTTTCTGAAATTCAAATCCAACTTGGAAACTTCCTCTTAAAACTTTTAATGATCTGCCATTGTAATTCAGTGAGGTTTATTCTTAGAAAAGCCACGCAGAAACTTATGTTTTCAGCCAATGTGAGGTCTTAGGAACTGAATATCTAGCTTCTAAGCATTTTTTTAATGGGCATGTTGTAGGAACATTGGGAAACAGAAAACACAGGGAAGTGAGCCTTGATTAAGCTTAGGCATAGAAATGAGGTGAGCTCTGTGAGGGCCCTAGTTAGCAGCAGGAGGTTATAGCATATGGAAGGGGGCAGAGGACTCAGAAGTTCCCTAAGCTGGGGAGACAATCCATAACCCAGGTAGAGCAGGTAAGAATGACGCAGACGACTTCAGAGTGAGGGGAAGGCTCTTCTCAGGTGAATCTGGATCAGCCCAGACAGGACACTAGCCCAGCAATTTCTGTGTTATCTGTTCTATTCACCAGGCCCAAGCATTTCAAGGAGAGATGCAGAAGGTTAAAAGTCACCCAAATCCCAGTTCTAGGGAAGAAGATGACAATGTGCGAAATCAAGGATACACAGAACAGGATTAGTAACAGATAAGATTGCAAAAGGAAATATTAGTAAAATTGAAAACATGGTGATAGAGACTATACAAGAAAAATCACAAGGAGAAAAGACTGAAAGGTAAAGCTAGTGACTTGCAGAGCTTTAAGTATGTATAATTAGAACTGGGATACTTGAAAGAGAGGGAAGAGAAAAATAAAAACCAGTGGCCAGAAATTCCCCAAACTTGCTGAAGTCTATAACCAAGAATCTCAACAAACCTGGAACACAAACATAAGAAACATGAAGCAAATGACCTTCAGGCTCATCATTTTTCAGTTGCTTAAAGGTAAAAATCTTAAAAAGAAGGCAAAGGAAAGAGTATGTTATCAAGAAATAGATTAGAATGACAGCCAATTTCCCACTGGAGACAAAGGGACACCTCATTATTAAAGAAAGAAGAAACATGGTCAGTCTAGAACTCCACACTCAGCCAAAGTTAACTTTCAAAAACAAAAGTGAAATAAATACCTTTAATGAAAACATAAAATGACACGAACTTATGTTCTTATTTAGGTTCATTAAGGGACACCTTTGGGTGACAGACAATGCTTGGGGCCAGATACTTAGATCTATGCAGAGAGATGGAAAAAACTAGAAATGCAGATAAACACATATGGCTCCTTTTAAATGACTCTTGAAAATGTTTAAAATTAAAAAAATTATGTATATACTTTTGTAATTCTTGTGTTTGAACTCAGAGCCTTGTGCTTGGTAGGCAGGTGCTCTATTAAAAACATGCCCTCAGACCTGTTTGTTCTTGCTATATTTGAATAGCAATTTCTCACATTTATGAAAAGATCTGGACTATGATCCTCATATTTATTCTTTTCATGTAGCTGGGGCAACAGGTATGCATCACTGTACCCAGCTTACTATTGGTTGAAATGGAATCTTGTGAATTTTTTGCCTGTGCTGGGCTTGAATGACCATCCTCTGACTTATGCTTTCTGAGTAGCCAAGATTACGGTGTGAGCCACCTGTGCCTGGCTAAAAATATAGTCTTAAATTTTTTTTTAAATTTTGTTGCTGGGCGCTGATGGCTCATGCCTATAATATTAGCTACTCAAGAGGCTGAGATCTGAGGATCATGGTTCAAAGCCAGCCCAGGCTGGAACATCCATGAGACTCTTATCTCCAATAAACCACTCAGAAAACTGGACGTGGTAGAGTGCTAGCCTTGAGCTGAAGAGCTAAGGGACAGCACTCAGGCCCAGAGTTCAATCTCCAAGACTGACAGAGAGGTTAGTTACATGAGTAAGGTAATGAGTACATTTCTTGTCAAGCATTGTTATCCCCTCCTTTGTTGTTCTCCCACTATCCCTTCCTTCCCCGACCTCCCTTATTCCCCCCTCCCTCCCCCCCCTGCCCACTGAAGTTGTAAAGTTCATTTCCAACATAGTGTCTTGTGAGAATCATTGTTGCAATGGGTCATCCTATGTCCATGTTTCAGTGTTTTGTTATTCCCCTTCCCCTCCCCAAATTAGATAAATGTGTATACAAGATGCAGGATACCAAAACCAAGTACGGTGACAACAGGGGATATACTATAGGGGGAAGAACATACAAAAGAAACAAAAAATCATGTGGTATATGAAAAACAACAACAACAAAGAAAGACCTCTTGTGTCTATATCTTGGGGTTCATTTCGCTTAGCATCATCCTATATGGTCATATGTACATAGCTTTTGAGCTTTTCTGCTCATCTGATAAAATTATCCTAGACATATACCAATTATTGCAAATAAGGGAGACCATGGGACCTATACTTCTTTGGGTCTGGCTTACTTCACTTAATATGATTTTTTTCCCAGTCTTTCCATTTCCTAACAAATGGGGTGGTGTCATCCTTTCTGATGGAAGAATAGAATTCCATTAGTTAGAATGGCTATAATCAAGAAATCTAATAACAACAGATGCTAGAGAGGATGTGGCCAAAAGGGAACACTACTGTACTGTTGATGGGAGTGTAAACTTGTTCAACCACTCTGGAAAGAAGTATGGAGGTTCTCAAAAGACTCCATATAGAGTTTCCTATGACCCAGCAATCCTACTTCTGGGCATTTACCCAAATGATCACAAACAAGGCTATACTAAAGCTACCAGTAAAACTATGTTTGTCACAGCATTATTCACCATAGCTAAAATGTGGAACCAACCCAGATGTCCCTCAGTAGATGAATGGATCAAGAAAATGTGGTATATATATATATGTGTGTGTGTGTATATATATATATATATACATATATATGTATATATAAATATAGTCTTTTGAAGCAACATTTACAACATATGGAAAAATATAATGTGTGACATTAAAGCACAAAACCTGAGAGAAGAATAATGCAAACATATTATTGGAAATTCTATTTATGCTTTCCATGAAGTGAAGTTAGGCTGAGATAAATTAAAGGTGTATGTTATCATCTCTAAATCAATCACCAAGAT